GGTTTTCTTTAACTTGCCCTTTGGTTAGTGTTATCATTTGGGTAATCATAGGAGCTAGGTGGTGGAAAAAAGCATTTTTCCGTTTTCAGGTCTTCCTTTTGGCTGTACTTACTGCTTACCATGTCAACCTAAACAGTTTTGAAATCTGGCAAACTTAGAGAATACTCTTTGGTTTGGACTGCTATGTTTTTATCTGCAGTCTACCAGTTGCCTCAAAAAATCCTTTTCCTCTGCACAAGGCCTTAAGACAGGGGGTCAGTCCAGCCTTCCTTTCTGATTCAGAGGAAATGGCAATCATAAGCCCTACAGAACAGTCATTTCATTTAGTCCAAGAACAACTTTTTCTCAGCAAGAAGGTGCCATTCAGTGTCCCTCTCATGCTTTTCCTAAGAGACAGATGCTGCAAGGCTGCCTTGAATGTAGGTGATGACTTTAGTGGCTTCCCTCTCCCATTTTCACTTAGGTTGTGTAGATCTCTTGTTTTTATGTCAGCTGGGTTTTTTTCTTCTGTTAAGACTTCTTAGCATGTTTTACACACGTTCTTGAGAGCAGCTCTTACGTTTACAATTGTTATCCACTCTTTCCAGTCATTGTGTTATGATCAGGAGTCTGGGAGCAAGTGGGTTTTTTTTGGATCCTGTTGGCTTCAGACTGCCATGATGAGTAACCAAAAAGATCAGAGAATCACTTCTCCATATCTCTAAATAAAGCACCTTGGTGCTAGATCCCCTCCTCTTGCCTTTATTAGTGTTTACCTTGTCCAGTTTTAATACCTTTCCTCATGATTTATCAAATATTATAGAGAATGACCTAGTTAAGACATAGATTACTGAATGATCTTCAGATGTAACCCTGCTAATCTCAAGGACCTATGGAATTTTGTTCTGCTTTGCATCATATCTTAGTTCCTATAAAACTGGTTGTGATTTTAGTCCAGACTGAACCAACAATCAATAATAGAGAATCCAAGATTTGCCTGATTTTGACCAATACCCTTAAAATCATGTTATGTTCTTTCATTCATGAGATAACCTGAAGTCACAGAAATTGGCTTTATAAAATAATTGGCTACTTTAAAAACCCCAAACAAACAGATTTTTATTAGAAGTTTGTATTTTAAATGGTTATATTTACTTGTTTCATAGAAGAAGCTGAAAAATCAGGCTTTCAGAAATATTCTCAAACCATGAGATCTGTTCGAAGTTTCAGGCATTTAATAGTTTCAAAGTCGAATAAATCCTGTCTAGTGTGACTCTAAGAAAGTGACCTGTTGCCACCTGATAGAGATTCTGGTTTTGTTCAAAAGCTTCAGAACTAGAACCTGAAGAGCTGCTCTTTCCCTGCTAAACCCTTGCAGGCGCTGGAGTAACTTCACCTGGTAACCAGGTCAATGTTCCTGATCTGGTGCTGAAGGACTAGCAGCTCAAGCTTGCGCTTTTTAATTGGATATTTTAATATCCAGAAGCAGTGCATATCCCATAGTGCAGTGGACTAATGTTAAAGCAAGAGTTCCTATGGATTAAACCATAGCACATTGAAAATGATTTTAGATATTTCTTTGGATCAATGGATATTTCTTTGGATCAATGGATGTCTGTGGGTCCATTGAGCAGACACATGAGAGATTGTTCCAAAATTAGGAGCTTACACTGAAAAAATACAATGTAATGTCTCCCAGACCGCCTCATATAAATAGATGTCCTTTTCTTTAGATCCCTGTTTCTGCTTGAATTTTCTGGTATGAATTCAGTAGGGATGTTGATGGGGCTTCAAATATCACTTTAAATTAACAGTAAGGTCTAATTGTTTCAGATTTTGAGCTTTGTCATAATTCAGAAGCAATCTAAATGCCAGTAACATGATGCTGCTTTAGTTGTGTCTTCCAGTTTTGTTTTTTTTGCTACCTTGTCAGAACAAAAAAAAAAAAAAAAAAAAAAAAAAAAAAAAAAAAAAAAAAAAAAGTTTGAAACAAACAAGAAAAAAGGCTAAAATGTTGATATTGTCTTTCACAGAGAAAAAAACCAGCAAAAATTATCTGTAGGACCAATATCACCATGAAGACTTGATCCAATTTCTAATGTCTGTTCTTTCCCTTCCATAGCTTCTCCACTGTGATAGAATGGAAATAAGTAATTTACTTCTGCTCTTGGCTTGAGGCCTAAAAGTTGTATTTGTGTTTCAAATATATGCTGAGGTTTGGTAGTGCTGAGGTGAGGGATGAGTTGGTGTCACCCCTCTCAGAAACTCAGAAACACATGTGGTCATGCATTGGGTTTGTGTTGTGTATAGCCTTCAGCTCCTCTCTTTGATGTAGCCTCTTTCCCACATTCTGCTATTCATGTTTGCTTTCTTTTACCGATGTTTTCTCACGACCTTGAGTTTAAGGAATTTCATCAGTACATCTCTCCAATTATCCAAAGTGTGAGAGGTACTGTCACATGTCCTCTTGCTCACTTGGATCTTCATTCTGTTAAGAGTTCATCATGTATGAAAGTCAGAGTTGCTAGGAAGGTTGCAGGGTATTTACCCTTTTTGGTTTGTTTTACTAAATCTGTGTGAAAATAAGAAAAGCTGCCTTGATTCCTTCTATTTATACGTAGAAATAACTCTTGTTCATTGAATGACCCTTACCCTATAGATCCAGTCATCCATGCCATGAGAAAAAAAAAATTGTTGTGTCTATTCATTTTCACTGGATGTCATCCAGAAAGCAGAAATATTACTGCTTATGTTCATCTTGTGTTGACACACTGCAATAAAGGAGTCTTCATATGCCAGAGTTAATCTGCTAACAGAAGATTTACTGCTCTTTGCAGTGCCATGTCAAACGTAACCTTCAGTGCTTTTTCCTGAGTTTTAACCTTAACTCTTTAGTCCTGGCAAATCCTCCTGCCCTTAAATTGTGCCCAAGTTAAAAATTTTAAATGACCTGATACATTTTGCCTTCCCTGAAACATAAAATTATTATCTGATATGTTGGTCTACGAGGACGCACTCATGTTCACATACAAATGGAAATGCCACAGTTGTCATTTGCAGAATTCTTCAAGCAGAAGTTTCAGCCTGTAAGTCTATAAAATAGTGCTTTCCAGAGAAGTAGATGAAAGTCAGAACTATATTGCTTAAACAGTTAGGTTGAGGTCCTGCAAGGTGAGCAAGAACTGTCTGAAAATCAGGAGCTGCTCCATCTTCAGAAATCCTTTCAGACTCATCTCCATTTTCAGAAATCCTTTCCAGATAACATGTCAATCCCTTCGTTAGCTGTGCTTCCTGGCAGTTGCATGCAAATCCATTTCTATACTGGTAGCTCTCTCTACATGATGTCATTACATAGCAAACAGACATAAAAATATAAAATCTATCTGGAGGACCGTGTGAATCTGTATGGGCTCAGAGACCTGTCCCATGCTGTTAATGCGTGTATGCCCCAAATTTGTGTTTCAGTTTGTTCTTAAGTGCCAGGAGCTTATTTCACACTGGTGGAGAGGCCTGTGCCAGTGCAAAAGAGAAAAAAACAATTACTTCGTTTTTTTTAAGCAGTGAAGTTCTTAAAAATGGCCAGTCTAAGTTCACCTTGAGGGCAAAGCACTTTAAAATAAAAATCTTTTAGTACTAGTCAATAGAAAAATAAAGCCTGTTCTGTTCTGTGTAAATAATTTTTGATCAATGTACTGTTCTAAAGCAATTCCCAATTAGCATATCCTATAGCTGATTGTCAGACCCTGTCCACAGGGTACAATTGTGACACAGGCTGTGAATATTCAGCAATAGGAGTCTGTAAATCTGAGTAAGTAATGACAAAGCCTCTTTAGGGAAAGAGGTGAGCTGAGTATAATAATGGCAATCTTGGGGGGCAGTGGGGTATTTTAATTTAATCAAATCCAGAGCAACTGAAAAAGATACTATTAAAAGGACTTATTCTCTGAAGTAAATACTTTTCAGAAAAATGTACAGTTCAAACTGACATGCTAAATTGGCATCCTTACATCCACTCCATTCTGTGGATCAAAGAGAAGTTAATCATTTCCCTTGCCTTTTATCTCCTTTATGGATGTGTTTGTGAGTATGTGTGCATATGCATGTGTCCGGTGTGTGCATGTGCATACATGAGTAACACCAAACAACGGCAGCGAGGGAGGGGTTCTTGCTTTTTCTGTAATGAAGTTGGAGATTTTATTTTTTTTTAATCCAGTGGTACCTAATAGTCACTGCCCACTGTAGTAAAAGCTCAGAAGTATTGCAACTTTCTCTTGTCTGTGTTTGCCCAGCCACCCTTCTACATACTACAAGCACTGGGAAATTTCAATGACACAGCTTGGAATGGGTTCAGTGACCTCAATTATGCCCTCCCACCCACTCCAAACTCCTTTCAATTTGCAAAAAGCTTTAAGTGGACAAAACCCAGATGCCTTTTGCTTGTAGTTCAGTAAGAACAGATTGGGCATGTAGATTCTTGTCAAAGTGATATATGTAGTTCATTTTCCATTAACTCTTTCTTAACTAAGGATTTTAAATTCTCGGTTCCAAGCCTAGCACTCTGCTTTGCTTTCTATTGTTTTTAAAGTTCATTATGCCTACAACATCATTTAAAAGTGAACTTTAAAATGCCTCAACTAGACATTGACTGATGCAAAACAGAATGTTTGATTCTGCTTTTAAATGCAATCACTTTTTTTTTTCTTTTTAAACTTGTTTCATATGTAATAACCCATCCTATTGTCTAAGAGAGTTGAAAAAACACGAACTAAATACACTAAGTAAAATCTCCAGTTTGGGAGGAAAGAGAAATCATGACTTGTGGAAATGATTTACCAGTCAAAACCAGTACGTGGACCCTGATGACCTTGAGCTTGCTTCAGTTGGCTAACTTAAAACTTACATTGCTTTTAATATGTTGTAATATTGCCCCAAAGAGGCAGTGCCCTTCCCCTCCCCCAGAGCATTTCATTACACTGCCTTTCTCCCTCTCTCTCCCTCTCTGTCTCTCTTTCATTCTGCAGAAACATGTGCTGTCAATAACGGAGGCTGTGATCGGACTTGCAAGGATACCGCGACAGGGGTGCGCTGCAGTTGCCCAGTTGGATTTACCCTGCAGCCTGATGGGAAAACGTGCAAAGGTCAGCCTCTGTTTGCTTTGCAATGCATCATTTGCCTTCAGCGGGTCCAGTACAAGATGTAAATATGCAGTTATTTAATCAATACTTTTTAAGTCGATTCAATACTGGTACAGTAATTACAATTAAGTTCATTAGCTTTCTCCTTCCCTAATTTTTATGTTATTTACCTGGTTCAGTTGTTTTTCTTTTTTATTTATTAGAGGGTTTTATTACTGCAAAGAAATGAGACGCAGAGGTCAAACTGTTTCAAGCTGAGCAGAGATTTAGAGGAACAACTCGGGGCAGCAAAAAGCCTTTAGTTGCAAAGGACATTCTGATACCTTTGTAAAACCTCAGTCATCTAATGGTGTCTGCATTTGTCTATTCAGAAAGCAAGTTACAATTGTCAAGCAATACTTTGTTACTTGAGAATAATCAACTGCTTATTGCTGAGTGAACCCAGGTATTGCTCAGAAAAAAACCCCAGATACTTGGTCATTTCTGCACCTTCAAAAGATAAATAGCCAGCTCCAAAGGAAAACCAAAATAACATTGACAAATGCAGGAGTTTAAACCACACAGCTGATGCTCAGGTTTTACTGCTCCAAAGGCAGCTCAAGAGCCTTGCCATTCATGTGTGTGTTAAAGCTGAGGTCAGGGGAAAAGAGAGCAGAAAAGAGCATCTGATAGCACTGTCAGCATGTGCTCGCAGTTAAGGAGACAGGGACAGCTCTCAAATGTCACAACACAGTCACACTTCAATGGCACATGAGGAGATTTGGGTACATGTTGGTATGATCAGGCCTTCCATCAACCATTTTCCCACTTTCCTGTGTATTCCTTTTGAGCTTCTTTGCAGAAGACTTGGAGATGGAGATCCAGGAGGACCTGGCATATATTCTTGTCACAGAGAATATTTTTCATCGCTCAGTGACTTAGCTTAAGTTGACCTAACTTGCTAAGCAATTATTGTGACTTTTTTTCCTTCAAATTAACCAGAAATGTCAGAATATACTCAGTCCAGGGCTTGACGTTACTTAAAATAGTAAAACCCACAAAAATAAACAGAAAATGTGTGGTTTCCTCTTGCTCCAGGCAGAAAAATCCCGGTGCTTGGGCATGATCCTGTTAGTATTTATAGAAATAACAGTCCATTTGCCTGTTCATTTGAAAATAAAACATTTAAGCTGCCATCGCACACAATGTTAATAGTTAAGGGTGAGCACACATCAAAACTCAGTCATCTTAGTTCAAGCCACATAAAAATAAACCTTCATTTTTACCAGCAGACTAGCTAAGCTGTAGCAGAACAGTAACAGTGATTCCACCAAGTGCTTAAAAAGGAGGCATTTTAATAATGTAACATGCACCTAGGCTTGATCATAATGTTTATTATTGAAACTGTGTCATGAATAAAAAGAGTAATTCTAAATTTAGACCTTTGGCCAGAGAACTAACATGAAACAATATTTATATAATAATCAAGACTATAATTATTCCTACAGAAATGAAATATTCTACTGATCCTCAAACCAAATACCTTAGCCCTAAGCTCTTTCACATTTTGCTTTTCCTCTTTTTTATGAGTAGAAAATATAAGAAACAAAATCTGTATTTTTATGATGCTGCTGATTCTTTCTTACTTTCTTAAAATAAGCAGCCACTGGAAATTAACACAGATGGTTTAATAAAGCAACAAGCCATTTTTTTTAACCTTTATTGACATTTTAGGAAATACTCTTTATCCTAAAATGGTAAAATATGAATTTTGAATTTGACTTAATTAATAAAATTTATCTTATGTATTGCACTGTGAGATTTCTGGGCTAAATCCTGCTCTCCTGAAGCTGAAGTGATTTTGCATTTAAACCTATGCACAAATGATCCTGCACTTAAACTGACCAGTGAAGTTTCTTGCACAGCTTTTGCAGGCAGCCCCTAGTCAAAGACAGTGATCTGTAGGATTTGCATCTCCTGAGGGCAGAAGTGAACTTTTTTGGTGGAGTGACATTAATGTCCTCTTGGCTCCTCTTGCTGATAGGTAAAGCCTGGAAAAGACCAGGCAGGAGAAAGTCAGTGTGCACATATTCCTTCCTCGGCAATCTCTAGAAAAGAAAAGAGAGTAATCAGCACAAGTTTTCTCCTTGGATTTCTTTTTCCTCTTTACTCTCCTTGATTTGACTGGCCCCCAGTTTCTCATATACCCACTCCCCTGTTTCCTTCAGCTGTAATTTTACATCTGTGTGGTAAGAGCAAGAGATTGTCTCTTGGATGCCCTTTAAAGCATCTTCAGGGATCATGGAGCTGTCACATCCTGTCTTTCTTGGGCACAGTTTTCAAGTCCATGGAGCATCACAACATGTCCAAGTGAGGTTTCTCATATAACATCATTCTAAGGGAGGTTATGTTTCTAAATATAGAAGAAAGATATGCCATTGTCTGTTAAGGGAAAGTAGAGATGTAGGGCATGTAAGAAAAGCTAAGAGGAACTGGAAGGAGAATTAATATATTAACTGAAAAATGCAATTGTGGGTCGAGCAAAATGATTAATATAGTTAGGTTTAATTTAGCAAATAATGTTGACCAAAAATAATGTTTTTATTGCAAAGTCTGTGATTTTTTTTTAGTCCATTTTGGCATCTTCCTCTCTAAGCAATTTTATATAGTGCAACTACTACATGAAATTATGTAGAAGTTTAGATTCAAGTGACTTAAATAAGACTCAAAGAAACATCTGCATTTTGGGTATTGGGTATTAAAAGTGGATCGAGGGTAATTTATTAATGTGTAATTCTAGCTCACTTGTAGGTGAATAATATATTCACAATAATGTGCTTTTGTTATACTGGTAGTTTATGTGAATCTGCTGCCACATTTCTTCCTTTTTTTTTTTACAAGTGAATGAAGATTTTTTTTTAAATTCACAAAATAGAAATACTATTTTTCTAAATAACAAAAATTTCTAGATGGTTCTGTTCAACAGTCAGGACTCTAGTCAATTTTAGGCACTGTGTAGACATGAAATTAGAAAAAAAGTTTACTGTCCATAATGTCCACAGGTTTTTGTTTAGTAGTTGGGAATTGCATTAATTGTTTAGCGTAGAAAAAAGGAAAGTATACATAAAAATGTAAAGACAAGTTCTTAAAAAAGAGTTTTTGCAAACATGCTTGATTGCCAAAAGGTGGCAAAGAAACCCTTTTAAATGTAAATAATTGTTCTATGCTTTGTCACAGTTCCCATTCTGTAGGTCTATCATAGAAGCTGGCAGGAATTTAAATCACAGAGTACAGAACTGAGTCCTGACTAAAAATCTGGTATTTCTCCTGGCCCCTCCCAGTGTGTCAGAGAATGGAAGGTGTAGGAGAGCAACTTCCAAGTAATACAAAGAACCTGCCTTCAGTGGTTTTGCAAGAGGTTGACCTCTTCTGTACTGAGAAATGAGAGTTCATTGTTCCTCAAAGAATCAAGCTCCTTTTTTAATGCACAGAACAGTCTGGTTTATATCAAATATCAGTAAATTCAGGGGGAAAATTTTTGTGGATATAATTTTAACATGGAATACGTACAGGTATCTGCAGAGCACATAAGAAGACTACTGTCCACTGTTGTGGAGGATTGGTTTGCTTTCTGGAAACTGGAAAAATCTTTTTAATCTCTGATTAAAAATCTCTGATTTCTCTGTTACATACATTACTTACCTGGTCTTGCAGTGAAATAAGAGCAAAAGTGCTGTCTGTGGTCTAGTTAGAATGATCTTCAGATGTATTAATGGTGCTTGGATAAAAGTTCATGAACCTTTTGCTGTCTTTTAAAAGTCAGTCTTGAACTCAAGTCCTCCCTCAGTTGGCTTGGCACACAATGGAGAATGCTCCTTTATTCCCTTCAGCTTTCCTGTCAGCTTGGCTCTTAATAAGCCAAACCATGGAGGCTTTTGACAGCTAAGAGAAGAGACATTTCAGGCAGAAAGGGTTCCATGTTCTCCCTCTAATTAATGCTATTTAATTTCTACTGCCATTGTAACTGGGTGATGCCAGCTTGATGCTCAGTTCATTTGATGCTGTTGATTATTGTGCTACACATGAGGAAACAGTGTAGGTCACTTCCTTGAATGCCTACCAAGTTATCCCACAGAATTCAGCCAATTCAGGCAGAAAGGGAGACTGAAGATTAAAAGACATAGAGGCCCAGGATGCTTATTGCTCATTACCTCCTACCAACTTTTTAATATCCTCTGTGTTGAGCATATCAGGGATTCTGTGGTCCTCATCTCCCTTGTTTGTTGGTTTCTGTGCCTCCTTCCTGCTGAGTGACCTTTCCATGAATCCAGCTCCATTCTGCCCTCAGTGAGAAGATTCATCAGTTCAGCATTTTAATTATACTAAATACAGCTTGGGTAACTGATAATGAAGGAGGCTTATTTGCAAAAGACTTGTAGGGTTCAAGAGGAGTGAAGTCAGACTAGATTAGACTTAGCAGAGATTTCTGAAGATTGTTTAAATCCATCTGCCAAACTAGATCAAACAATAAAGAGCTCACCTTCCCGAGGACAGTTACAGGAGACAAGCTGGGCCAGGGAGAATTCTTCTCCCAGGACTTAAAGTAGAGAAGGACTGAGAATAATGGCAAAAGATGATGTCTGAGAGAGACAGGGACTTTCCCTTGTGGCTTCTCTAAGAAGAGAATCAGAGCAGGAGGAAGGGCCACAAGCTTCTAGCATGGTGTAAAATGTGTGACCGTGTATATGATATATATGCTCCATTTCTGCTCTGGGACTTAACAAAGAAACTGTGTCCATAGATAGGCACTCTTGTGCCTGAATAAAGCAACTTCCCAGCACTCTGCACCTAGAGCTACAGAGAGGAACTGTGCAGACTGCAGCCCTTGCTGAGCTCCTGGAGTCACATAGCACAGCAAATGGAAGTTTTAAGAAGGAGAAACTGGATTTCAAAGCAAAAGCACACATCTCAACTATGGCTTTCCCACAAACATCCATAAAGTGCTATCTAACTTTGCATGGTCA